TGCAATGCTTCGGAGGCACTGATGGTCAAACAGACTGCCTTCGAGGGTCTCCAATACACAGCAGCCACGTCACTGATCCATAAGGTAGAACAAATTGGGCCGCAGCATTGCACACTGTACTCTTAGCAACCAGGCTGATTTCACTTCGGCTCCACAAGTGTTGTGGGTTAGTAAGCACTGCCCTGGACTCACCAACTCCCGAGGTGATTCCGTCTTTCGCCGAGACTTACAAAATTGTCAGTTTAGAACAGCCTATCTACATCGGCCGATTCACCTGCAAGCAAGAAGTTTGGGTCTGGTCCCACCCAATCTTGCGTCAACACTTTACAGGTGCAACGCGCCTATCGAAATGTCTAAAATAACTTGCACTACCAAAGGGTCTGATCCAAGTGGATAAATACCGTCGGCGTACCCAGTGTCGTGAGTGAAGTCAGGATATAATTCGCTGTAGACACTTACGCGTCCATGCGAGGAAGTATGTAGAGACACTTATTTAGAAGGGACACTCAAACTACCACGGTCCTGACGATCAACGGAGTCAGAAGTAGATTTGACATTGAGAAAGACAACCGTGATTAGTCGTCGGAAGGGGTGGCGCAGTTCCAGTACTTGTCGAAAAAAGAAAAGAACAAGTTAATGGAAACCCAGCCAGGTCAAAACCCAGCTGAATTTTTGCGAATCTGACTCTCGAGATGGTGCATCAGCCTTTACACAGAGCATCTTGGAAGCTGCAGCCACTAGACTGATGCCCTGGTGGTTTTCGCACGACGTCCCTGTATCCTAGTTGAATACTGGAATCACCGCTGATGGGCTTCAATCTGTTCGTGTTTTTCCCTCACTCCAGGAACTTTGGAGTAAAGTCTTTAGGATAGCCACGACGAACTCATAACATTTCTCGAACACTGTAGGGTGCGAACCATCTGGTCCAGGTGCTTGATTGTGCTGAAGCAGTGAAATTGTTCCAGGACTTCTGTCGATGATGGTCGACTGGTATTCATGCTCCAATCGGGTTCATCTGGTTGACTTGACTGGTCTGTTCTTCAATGTGTTCAGCCCATCTTTTAAAACGTAGTTTCCGTGATGGAACTGAGGTGCAATCATTTTCGGAAATCGACTTACTAATACCCACCCTCCTCGAACCGGTTAAAACAGGGTGCGACTGTTCTCTGTTAAAAAAATCCCTCTCCATTTCTCGGGCTTTTGCGATCCACCAGCGCTTTGTCAACCCCTAGGTTCCTCATCATTCGGTGTTTGAGGGACCTGTGTGCGCCATCACAGTCCACTGTTACCGGTATAATCTTCTTGGCATCAATAAGAGCTTCTGATTGTGACGAGATCCAATCTTCATTGGGCTGTGCAAGTGACCTCGAGAGGGATATGATCAAACTGGATTCTCGTATGTGCGTTTCGGAGACACGAAATACATCAATTGAAAGAGAGAACAAGTTGTCAGCAAGAGTTACCTGCTGCCCAATATGACAGAGTACGGACGTTGAAAGCATCAATGTCCAAAAGATTCCTAGAATTTAATAAAGGTTTATTTTGATTTATTTCACTGAAAAGAGCAGGGGTTAGGTAATTGAAAGTTAAGTAAATCAGAAGAACTTGTACGAGGGATATGTGAGTAACGTATGGGAATGAACAGCCGTAAGGACACATAATTCTTGGTTGCCCACGCCGAAGAACGAGGTTTGGTTGAGGAACCCCACCTTCAGCCTTTGGCTCAGAGGTCTGATCTACAAGGCAGTGAGTGGATAAAGGCTTTTATCTAGGGGCCCTTCTCGGAGTCAATGACTTACTTGGCTGCACGGGGCTCGTCTGGCCCGAGGACGAAAGGGAGAAGGCAGTACTATCTCACGTCTGATGCAGCTGAGCACAGCAGGTATCTTTTGAGCAGCACGATTTCTTATTTTCAGATGTATTATACTTGCATTCAGTAACGCACCGACGGTCACGATCAGCTGTTGAGCGATCGGAGTCTTCGGGCTTTGGGCCCACCCCGGAAGAAGGCAGCATCACTGTATCCATTCATATGGACATGCTAGATACCTGACGGGAACGCCTTATTGCCTTCGCAGAGAAAAGTACGGCGTTACCTTCAGACCGCCTCGTAATACTATTTCTAGCAGTAAACAGATTTGCTGTTGTTGGTCGGGCTGTTCCATTTTGGGCTTCCTGGCATGACCGAACCTTTACCAACTGAGTTCCAGCCGGTTTACGCCGGGAGTTCATTGCAGCGCTGAAGCCCGACCACCACCGAAAGGTGACAGCTTTCAGTCACTGTATGTGAAAAGTCCTATAGTTACATTGACTTCGGACGACACCATTCCCTCACATCGTAGGAAGCTTTAGGTTAGCTCGATTGTGTCGCCAACCACACAAGTGAGCTTTCGTCGAGTGATCAGCATCACAACACCCTGAATAGTTCTCAGTACTGACGACACAAACTACACCGACCACGTTGAGTTCACGCCCCATGGTACATCGTGTGATTTATTGTGCCACAGACCAGTCATGGGACCAAACCAGTGTACGGAAAGCTGAGTTGTCGAACTCGCTAGGCAGTATCAGACGTGTGCACCGGATAAAGGGTAGAGAGAATCCTATACTTCAAGGAAGCATGAATCAATTACCATGCGAAATGTGGTCCTTAGTGGGGAGTGGTAAGGTCGAAACTGGTTAAAATTTCTGGTCTATTTCCCCCATATATCTAACGGAAAAGTTATCCCTTAAGGTACCGATCATAGGAGCCATCGTGTTTCTAAAACACGCTAACATGGAAACAACGGTAAAGTTTACCAAACGAACGAGACAACTGTGATTGATTCTGGCCGCATCAGACTCCGGCCATAAACCGAAGACATCAAAACGCAGTGCATAGTATTCGGCAGTGGATCGTAACTTCTTTCGTAATGAATTAAAGGCTTCCTAATACTGAGCTGTTCGCGACACTCTTGACCAGAATCGGACCCTATCCCAAGTGCAACGGCAATATTTTATGCGTTTCTTTGTGTCTATTATCACGGAAGTTGGAAAAACATTGGCGCTGCATACATATGGTGGCAAAGATGTGAGTACTGTAGGAGCGATAAGTTTGTTTTTGAAATATTCCACATCCAGCCGTCAGTTAGATTTATACAGTGTAACAAAGCCTGGAAGACAGACTTCACCGTGACCCTAATTATGGCATGTACGGACGGTGAACTGACGTGTCACGTCCATATAAGCCTTCATCGTAGTGCTGAGGAAATGCCTTAACCGGGCATTATGGAGAGGGTCACTGTAACCGATGCAAAACATATACAACCACAGTGCAGCACCCAACATGTTACTGGATATTCTGAATAGGATACCAAGGATGAAGGATAAGTGAGAAAATTGTGTTAGGTTATGCACATAGTGCTGTTCACAGATCTAAAGGTTTTCTGTAAATGTTGCGAACCGTGAAAGTGATCAGAAAACTGCTATTTTCATTGAATCCACGTTGACAATGTTTTGATTTGCCAAAGCCTGTTTTGAAAAGCTCATATACAAAACCAACGTTTTGCAAGTTGGAACAGATAAAAGTTACGTGACCTTATAGAACAGACTGCGAGCTGAAAAACTACATTCTTTCGAAACATCGTTCGCTCGGGTTTGTTCTCACACAAGACGTAATAAATGCACAATTGGGTGGGCATTTCTTCTACAGTTTCTAGAGAATTTGATATCTATAACATAACTGGCCGATATTCGCTTGCATGTAACTTGATTGGTTTCTTTAATATCCTCTTATGGCGACAAACGCTTACAAGCTAATAGGCAACTTCGACGAACAGAACAGCTGCCACACTTACTTCGTTGAGTCAGACCGCGACGACAGCGTTGTAATCAGGATGGTAGGCCCAAGTATCGGGCATCACTATCGATAGCTGTTTCCGTCACAAATCTTAGCCACTGGGCAGACAAAGGACGGTGGCCGATCGACAGCCCACTGTAGTTCACGTGCTGCATTTTAGTCTACATTCTGGGTTTGACAATTCTTCAAAAACCCTACCACACGCTGAATGTATATACATACAATCCTCATCGCATCGGCTGTTTGTACATTAACCGTTATCCGATCCTGTGGATTCAAACCAACGATTTTTCGAAAAATTCGGCCATTCACTCAACCTAAGTTATATACATACAATTACTCCCTCATCGGCTGTTTGTACATTAACCGTTATCCGATCCTGTGGATTCAAACCAACGATTTTTCGAAAAATTCGGCCATTCACTAAACTCAACCTAAGTCACCAATCGGTCTTTGGAGTCAACCAACTATAGTTACAGTGATTCGAAAGAGTCTGAAATTCCCTAGCAATCACTGTATAAGATCAACACCCCTTGCTGACTTCGACAAGTTCAGTAAGCAAGACCTCGAGGACCAATCAACATCAGTTTAGTCGTACTGATGCTGCTTTGCTCGACTGGTATTTACAATCGGATATGACTGCACGGCATTAACAGCATTAACAATGTGGAAAAAGGAATCAAAACAGCCTCAACGCCACTGTTCATCATGACACCGCTAATCAATCTCACGTACATTTTTCACTTGTATTTCAAAGGTGACTGTATTTCTTCGAGTGTTAATAAACTAAAACAGTTGTTCACCGAATGTCGGTTATTTGTAGTCTTGACACGACTAATCATCTACCAACCGCAATGGTACGAAACCATGTGGTTTTTTTAGAGTTGTGTTGCCCGCAATAGAGACAAAAAACGACGTAGTTTGAAATTTCACGTGGTGCGTTTCGGGGCAAACAGGTACGAGGCACCCTGGCTGTCAAAACATCACGGTCTGAGTTGGATGAAATATGAGAAGCGTAAATCGAACGTTACGTGAAGAAAGCCGTGATCAGGCGGATATCAGAAACAAGGGGTATGAATATCGAGATTTGACAGATAGCGAAAATGTACACAACATCCCTGATGTTAGGGTGAATATCACGAACCTTGAGGGATAAACAGAATTACAAGTTCCCCTCAGATTCTTTCTTGAGTGTATCAGTGCCGTTCGGTAGCTGTTCTGATTGGCCTTGCTGGAAATGTTGTGGAGGAAGATTCATCATCACGGGTTGCGTCATACCAGCCATCGATGGCGGGTAACCTGACCCATTGTCCTGAGAGATCGTACAAGGACCGCTAGATGGGGTCATCTGGGGAGGGTACGAATTAGCTGCACATCGTTCCGGAACATGGGGATAGGTGGAAACCGAGACTTGCTGAGGACTTGCTGACTGAGATGCACTGACTCCAGGGACTCCCATAGGAGGAGCATGGGACGGTGCAGTGGAGGATGGCACTGGGACCGGTACGGGACCTGGAGGCACTGTCTGTTGGGGCATCTGCTGTCCATTGGGATTGGCATGAACAGCGGTCCGATCAGCAATCGTAGCCAGATAGATAAGGTTTCGATGGAGGATCTGTTGTAATTCTGAGGCCTCCTTTACTGCGCCACACCTCTGGTGTGCCATGAGGCTGTGGATTAGTCGGACATTCTCATCGAGCATCTGAAACAGAACAGGTCACAAAAATTTGGATAAATAGACGATAATAGGGTATAATACGAACAAACACTACCCGCTACATAGCTACAAACCCCACCTCAATAAATACCCCAAAACCTCATACGTCGGCTTCAATCCACATTACAGGAATCAACGTTTTTTAATGACAAAAAACGGAAGAACAGTACGTAGTACTTGCCTATTGATCATGACCCTTCGGTAGACGAGCCACAATAAGTAATGTTGTGAAAGCACAGTGTATTTCTGTTTTTTTTTCTCAATCAAAAATCAAAAAAAGAAGTGTTATTGGATGCAGGTTGAAGAACAATGAGTTTTGGGAACAGTTTACAAAACAGCCAAAAATCGTAGTGAACACACGGTTTGACAGGAATGTTTCGCCAGCAAGTGTTGAACCAAGAGCTGTTGTAGAACGGTGGTTATAAGCGAGACAGATAGTGTTTAGCAGATGGATTGTGATTCAACGTCTCGATATTAGTGCACAAGATGTATATCTAGGGTGATCACCTTGCATTCTCCCCACCGGTACTTAAACGGCGCAGATTTACAGCTGACCGCTAGCTCATTCGGTCAAAAACCGATGAAGTCTAAGATCTTTGAGCTTAACTCGCACCTGGTTGGTTGACACGAGACTCTCGAACCTGCTCTAAGTCCGGAACAGCACCAATTCTTCATTATATTGATGTGGATTGCATAAGGCAGGACACATTCTCAGAGATTCCCTTCAATACAACATAAAACCACGTTTATAATAGCAAAACTTAAAATGAGGATTGAGATGGGTGTTAACTCGGCTTTTGTATAAAGGTGGGGTTTAAAGCAGTTAGGGAAGATAGTGACAAAACGTGCCGAGCTAAGATGAGAAGATAACAGTTCTACAACGTGCAGTAATAACTCGATATAGGGGAGTCTGGAGAAATTCATTTATTGAGATAGATCAATCAACAAGACGACGGGAATGCTCAGCCAAATGACCAATGGGCAGTCCAGATTAACCTGGGTGAGTAGACTCTATATCAACCCATGATGACATCATGAAAACTGGGGCAACCGAATTGTCCAGCTCAGAGGAAAAGCCAATGATTACAATATGAGATAATAATAACAGTAGTTCAGTTGCAACATCCCTTCGGTGTCCTACTGCTACGCTATCCGATGGGAGTAGGAGGGCTGAGGTACTGCCAGGTTGCCCAAGTCTATACAGGAGCAATCGAGATGCCTCGGTTGCGTTCAAAACACGAATCTTCTGGTCAGTAAGTTCTCGCCTGAATACTGAACTGTCTAGAGCTCGAAAAGTTGCTAGTGTCCTTTTCAAACGCACTTACTTCCTGGATTGAAGTGGGTGACAATCTTGTCTCACGACGTGGAAGTGTTTGAGGAATATTGGCCATTACGGGCAGGACTATGTTTGCATGGGTATAATTAATTGATGCCACTGAGGCCCCTTTGGTTTGTGAGAACGACCTGGTAAGCGCTGAAAAAGATAGGAGCAAGTTAATTGAATGAGAAAAGTGCACTCCATGGAGAAATTTACGACTGTCCAGCTTTACTATTTACTGTAAATTTGGAACGGCAAAAAACACGAGGCCTTCTTGCCGTTGATGGTGCAAATCATACCAATGGTACCAAGTACCAAATGAATATCAATGGTAGGTCCTATAACGTAGCAATGTTGGAGCCTCTGATGATGATGAGCCCAACTTACGTGAAAAGCAAAGAAAAGAAATCGTTCAGCCGTAGCACCCTTTCGGTGCCTAACTGCCATGCCACCCGAAGGAAGGAAGAGAGCTGGGATACCGTTGCTCAAGTAGACAGGGGAAGTCGAGAGGCAAAGGTCGGGTTCGAAACACGGACATTACGGTCATTGAGCTCGCGCCTTAACCACTGTGGTATGTGGGATTATGAAACTTGGTCTAGTGTAGTTATCCACCTGATTGGAGTCGTTCGTTTTCGGCATCATTGTATGAATATCACACTCCAGTTCACTTCACACAGCATCAGAGGATAGGCGTCACGAGGTTTGAACCTCTCATTTCAGGGGACTTTCATGTAGATACTTCAAGTGAAAATTTGAAGTAGAAGGTGGACTTCTGGTGATGTCACCCTCGCAGTATCAGGATTGGCTCTTAAAAGATGATGCATTGGAGGCTGTGTTCGGGAAGCATTATATTCCGGTTAGTAAGCAAATGGAAATAAAGCTAACATCCTTACCTAGTCCCCCAAAGTCATCAAAACTGCCAACAGGATTGCTTCTAAATGGACATTTGTATTCCTACTTTCTTCCAAAACATCCTTAGTTTTAAAACTTATCACCGCTGCTCCCTTGGACTGTGACGCTTTCGTCGGCCTGGGTAACATTTCGAAACACCACCCCTAATATACCATCAAATTCATTTACAATCCTAAACGAATGCTTTCTGGTTGATAGATATCCAATTTAGAGGTGCTACAAGCCACAGACGACATAAAAATATGCGGGTGTGTACCCCCTAAAAGCTGGACACCTCATGTCACCTAATGCGAAGTAAGACTATCTTGAGTTCACGCAGTTGAAACAAAGATCTTAGATAATGGTTCTAGTCATCCCGCTTATGTTTGGTCCTGCTGACTGTATCCCCATCAGCACAACTTCATGAAACAACGCTATCGCATCGTACTCACAGCATGCTGTAAGGACACATACGTATATATTCACTCATGATCCTTAGTTTTTTCCACTGGACCGGGCAGCACACAAGCTACCTGAGCCACCAACATTTTCCACTATATGCACTCATTATCCGGAACATATAATCACATGATCCCATCAGGGCTCCCGGTTAATCGCTTGCGCATCACCGTCCTCAAATTTGTGTCATGTATAACACCTGAACACGATATTCACATACTTGAAGCTCTGTTCTCACAAAAAGCAAAACCTTCGCGAGGCAATTACTGAATATCTGCAAGCAAGAGTGCTCAAGAGCTCTGGTCGCTGACTTCAGCTATAAATCCACTTCTAATGACACACATCATTGAGAGCATGATTGGAATCCAGTCAACTCAGTCATCAGCGATCACTTGGGCGAAGTCCACAAACTGTTTCAGAGGCGAAGCGAAGAATTTGGAGACAGCATATAAACAGTCCTCACCTTAACAAGTGGGGTATACAACAACTACCCCCGGTGTATCTCCAACCGTATAACGGCCATGTTACTGTCCGATCCAAGGACAACTATGCGGTTACTATGGTCACTAGGGGGCGAGATGGCCCAAGTGATAAGAGCGCGAATTTACTGACCGGAAAGTCCGTGGTTCGAATCCGACATCCGCCTCTCGACTTGGGCAACCTGGCAGTATCCCAGCCCTGGTGCTTCCTTCGGGTGGCATGGCAGCTAGGCACCGAGAGGGTGCTACAGCTGAACGCTTACTATGGTCACTAATAAGCGTCCGTTTAGCGGGTACTCCGGACAGCCTATTGCGGTTCACTCAACCATGGAAGCAGTGTCAGCTTTGGGAAAAAATTTAAAAAATCGTTCAGCTGTAAAACCCTTTCGGTGCATATCTGCCATACCACCCAAAGAAAGCACGAGGGTCGGGATACTGCCAGGTTGCCCAGGCAGTGGAACTCGAGAAACGGAGGTCAGGTTCGAACCACGGACCGTCCGGTCGGTAAATTCGCGCTCTAACCACTGATCCATCTCAACTTTGAGAAAGAAAGGGTGGCTTAAAAGAAGTCCGCCTTTCTCGACCTGGGCGTGGGCGAAAAGTCACCGCCACTCGGCCGTGGATTTTTACTTTTACTGTCGCAACAGCTCGGTTCTTTCGTGAAACTGATGATACTATTATGTATGTATTGGTTGATATGGGCATTTCGCAAAGTAGCGCTTTTCCTTCAATAATTACAACAAAAATAGTGACAACCGTTCAGCCGTAACGGATTTCCGGTATCTAGCTGCCATATCACCCCAAGGAAGTACGAGGACTGAGAACCCACCAGGTTACTCAAACCTATGCAAGAGCAGGGTTTCGATTGTGTTCGAACCAGGAACCTTTTGGTCAGTAAATTAGCTCTCTAACCACCGGGCCATCTTGCCATTTAAAATTGTTTGCATTTTTGAAGCATCTGAACCAAGAAGAGTATTATCGTCTGCATACTGGTCGTCTGTGAGCGCACATCCCGGATGTATTTCAGAGACAGAGAGAAATTTCAAGCAGCACATTAATGACACAGTTGAATAGGAAAGGTGAGAGTAGGCAGTCATGTCTTACACTACTGGGTACGGTGAACTCAGGCGAAAGCTTGCCATATAGTCACACGCGCTCACAGGAGTTCATGTAGAGAGCTCTCATTAGAGGTATAAAACTGGAAGGGACACCTTAGATCGCCAGACACCGCCAAAGTTTCTGACGATCGATACGGTCTTCCTATAACCAACAAACTTGAGCGAAATACCAGACAGCACCTTAGATGCGACACATACCAGGCTGGCGCCACAACGGTTTTTACGTGACGTTCTTGCGCCCCCCTTTGAAAACTGGGATGACGGTCGAGGAGCTGCACCCGACCAGTATAGTTTTCGTCCCAAATCTTCTGAAGTATGGTTGTCAGATTGTTCACCAGGAACTCACTACTTTCTCAGAAGAATGCGGGGTGTAAGCTAACCGCAGCAGAAGCCTTGTCGCACTTGAGGATTGATATCTCACGCCAGATTTCGATTGTAGATGGCGGACTAGTGTCGGTCTTCCATTCAGGCCAGCTAGTTTATTTCAGCGTTTGCGTTGGAGACCAGTCGAGCTGTTCTTCGGGGCGAGATGGCTGTGGTTGGGGCGCGAATTTACCGACCGGAAGGTCCGCGGTTCAAAATAGAACTCCGTCTCTCGACTTCCCCTATCTAGGCCTGGGTAACCTGGCAGTATCCCGGCCCTCGTGCTTCCTTTGGGTGGTAAGGCAGCTAAGCACCGAAAGGGTGTTACGGCTGAACTACATCACGATATATTTATATTACGAACCGTTCATGGAAATGCTCATCCGATTGCTTAAAACGACAATTAAGTGATTTATCGCTATGCCTTTTTCGCACATTCTTTCTCTGATACTTGTTTTTTGGCCGGTTGATCGAATCAGCTGGGATAGGGCGCAGGTGCTTGCAGCGAAAGCCTTCTCCATCCCATATGTCTCCAAAATCCACCAGTGTTCTCTGACACACCAGAAGCCCCTGATTATCCGGCGTTCGACGATCTGTGTGCGCCACCACAGTCACTCGTCCCTCGTATGACCTTTCTGACAGCGATAAGGTCTGCCGGTCGCACGATATCCAGTATTCATTAAGTCCAGTAGGATGGCTTTGACAAACAGTTCTGAAAGCTGATAGCATGGCTTCTTTCACTTCCTTTCATTCAACCTCCAAGCAATCCGCATGACTGTGCGTTTCAAGGAGCTTTCCAAAAAGGTCAGCTCGGTAAGCTTGAGTCACTGAAAGTTGTCAAGGTTGATTAATGGAACTGTTCTACCAATGCACACAGTATGCTAATGGAAAGTGATGTGATGACCAGGCTCATACAATGACATGATCAGAGTCAATTTGCGTACCCCAGAAGGAACGACAATCCTTAATTAACGCTCTCCATCGCTAACTCGTAGCCCTATGGTCCAATTGGGTCTTGCAGTTGTTGGCCTCCAAGTAACTCGATGTGTGCGTTTGGAAGTCCGTACTAAAAAACGCTCCACTGTAACACCCTGTCGGTGCCTAGCTGCCATTCACCCAAAGTGTCACCCAAAGAAAGCACGAAGGCTGGGATACCGCCAAGTTCTTTAACCCTAGACAGGGAAAATCGAGATGCAGAGGTCGGTTTCGAACCACGGACCTTCCGGTCAGTAAATTCGCGCTTGAGCCATCTTGCCGTACTACTATCACCTCAAACTTTCTGGCCTACTAATGTAAATAAGCCGCAATTCCAGCCTGAGAGCCGTGTAGTAGCCGGAGAATGGAGATCTGGTCTCTGAGAGCGGGTCGTTCTGAATATTCGGAAAGAAAGTTGGTCACGCGATCTACAATGTCTTCGCCGCTCCCAAAAAAGACGACACTAATCAGTTGAGCTTCAACCGCCGTTTGGTCCAAGCCAGAGAGGAGCAGCCCCTTGGCTTCAAACTAATTTTGGTTTGCAGACGCCGCCAACCACGATTTCCGGGATGCTTCTTTATCTGACAACACGAACAAAATCTGCGGTGACAGCGGACCGGCATAAAAAGAGCATTTTCCGAAGCTTTCTGATAGCGGTCATATTTATCTGGGATTCCCTCACGATGTAACCTTGGCAATGCTCAAAATACTACCACGCTTTCTCATTCCTAGCAGAAAAGGTGCAAAAAGTGACCACCTCAACGCAACCGTTGGATGCATCTGACACAACAGTACTGCCCAGGGATGGACTAAAATGGATAAGCAGCAAGTTGGAATAAATAATTTCAATTTGTCAAGTAGACTCAAACGA